GCAAGTCTTCAGTTACTTTCTAGAATTCTTAAAACGCTTTTGACACTTTCTGACGGTGTTCCCATTGCTTTTATAGAGATCTTACTACCATTTTCAAAGTCATGCCACTTTACTCTTGATGTTGGGTTAGGAAAGTATCAAGAGAACTCTAGTGGATGCCTCTGGGGTAAAACACTCTCTGCATTCGTAGTCTAACAGTACTCCTACTTTCTCCCATGGTCACATTCAATTATGGGCTCTTTTTGCCTGCTGGTCTCTTGGCACTAGGAACCTGGTGACAGGGACACCTCAGCAGGTTACAATTTAAAAGGTCTATTGTTGTGCCTCTTGATAAAAGAGTCCCACTGATGGGAAGCAGGAGCTGTAGACTCACAAAATTGTGGAGAGAAGCAGAAATTCCCTACATGTATTACCATGAGTAGGAGTAAGTGAATGTGTTAATTTCCTGTTGCTCCTATGACAAATTACTACAAACTTAGTGGTTTCAAATAACACAAATTTATTCTTACAGTTCTGGAAGTCAGAAGTCTTAACAGCTCCATTTCTTCTGGAGGATTCAGGGAAAAGTCTACTTCCTTGCCTTTTTCCGTTTCTAGAGGTCACGTGTGTTCCTAAGCTCTTTACATGACACCAACCTCCTGCCTAAGTGAACCTGCCTCTCATATAAGAAACTGTGTGATCATCAGGCCCATCTGCCTGTCTGGAGCCCATTAACTTAATCTTATCTGCAAAGTCTCATTTACCATGTAAGACAACATATTCATAGGCTCCAGCTGTTAGAATGTGGATATACTTGAGAGCCGTAACTCAGTCTATGGACGTAGAAACTCAGTTTCTACCTTTTCATTCCCAAATGCATATTCTGTCTGTCTGGCACAATACAGAGGGTATTGATTTAGAGTGCGCACTGCATCCTGATGGGCAGCATTCTGTTTTCTCAGGTTGTCCCCTTCCTTTGGCTTCAACTTCATCTTCAAAAGGTTTTTTTACATTAGTCTATCATGCCAGCACACAGAATGAGGGGAAGAGATGAAGTGCTGGGGTATTATGTTACCTTTGAGTTTTTAAATTACATGAAGCTTAAAAATAACTACTAAAAAAATAGAAAGTAGGGAAGTCGATCTACCCATCTGTATCTATTTACCTACCTAATCTGCTACTGCTGTATGTGCGTGTATGCATGTGTGTGTGAGAAAGACCTCAAAATTGTTTAGCCTCATTCACTCAACATTTAGCTGTTTACCTTTGATTCAGCCTTGACCTTTAAAAAGCCAGAGATTATAATACCTATTTCTCTGTGAAATTGTATATTATCAATGCTGAAATAACATTGCAGATTATCATGTCTAACCAGAATAAATGTCACTGCATTGTTAATATCTGTAAGTAAGCATTCTAAACATCTGTAACAAGAATTTCTTACATGCTTTATGTTGACATTTGGTATCAACCAAAGTACACGTGTACATCACTGGAGTGAATTTCTTCAGTGATTGTGAAAGCTAGCAAATTTATACACAAAGCAATTATAAACTTCTAAATAGTATAAAAACTGGACGAAATATATGAAAAAATGACTATCAAGGAACTGGTTGTAACACTGATCCATGAAAGATGGAAAGCAAACAAATGAGTCATGTAATTTCCAACCAACTACTACCTGGCTATGGCTTGGGGGAGGAGAATCCAAGTTGCACTAACTGGGATCCCAAGAAGCAAGAGTTCATGGGGTAGAATATTAGGAGAGAGAAGTGAGGTGAAAGACAGAGCCAATAAATTGAATTTATAAATTTTGTCACACTTTATTTAAGACCCTTCAATGATAACCCATTGCTGTTTGGATAATTTTTTTTTTTTTTGGCAGTACTGAGGTTTGAACTTAGGGCTTTACACTTGCAAGGTAGATTCTCTACCACTTAAGCCATGCCCCCATCCCTTTCTGTTCGGGTTGTTTTAGACATAGGCTTTCACTTTTTGCCCAGGCCAGCCTGAACCTCCATCCTTTTTTAAGCTTCCCGCTGTCACTGGGATGACAGGCTTGTACCACCACATATGATTTTTTTCTGTTGAGATGGGGGGTCTCACGAACTTTTTTTTGCACAGGCTGCCCTGGAACCACAATCCTCCTGATCTCAGTCTCCCAAGTAGCTAGGATTACAAGTGTGAGCTGCCAGCACCCAGCTTTGGATAATATTAACATAGCCTGCACTGTCCCCTGCATGGTCTGAACACCACTCAGCCCTGCCACCTAACATTCCTTCCCCCTTACTTTCCTCTCCATCCACTCAAGCTTTCATTTTAGCCCCTCAAACTCTTCCACAGGGCACTTGTACACATTGTCCTTGCTCCCTGAAATGCTGTGCCATTTTGGCCACTCATTAATTCCTACTCACTCTTCAGCTCATAGCTCAGTCATCGTGTTTTGGGGGAACCTTTTCTGATCTTTGTCACCAGGTCAGCTTTCGTCATATGTTCCTGTTTTACCCAGAACCTCTCCTCCAAGCATTTACTAGACTGTGAGCTGTTAACATGAAGTGTTATATGGAGTGGGTGTGTGATTGACTATATGTTTAATGTCTACTCCCTTCACTGGAGTATAAAGGCTATAGAGGCTGGAATTGAACATGGTTTTGTTCATGACTTTATTCCCAGTGATGTCCAGCATATTCTTGGGGCTCAGAAACACTTGTGGAAGGGTGAGAAGAGAGGGAAGGGAAAATAGAATAGATAGAACTTGGAGTCACAAAGAAAGTAGTTCAAGGCTCAGTAAGTTTTTATTTCCACAGCATCTCCACCGCATTAACAGCAGAAATAACTGAAAAGGAATTTTGATTTCAAAATACCCTGTTTTGGGTGTAAGCATTCCCACACTGCTGTTATTACCTCTATCATATATATCTTACTGATTTGGTTAGCCCACTATTCAGAATATCAGGTAGAAATGTTTCTTACCTATAAGAAAAAAAATAGTGACTTAATCAGATTTGGTGGGAAAGAGGGTGCAGATTTTGTTTTCCATAGGTGAAGAAGTTCAGAGATAGACTTTTCAGAGCTGCTGGTACAGGATATCCTCTAGAAATCAGAGTCCTATAATCCTGTTCTACCAGTCTTAGCATGCTTGGAGAGATGGCAAGTGAAAAGGGACAACTTGGTTGGTGTGGAGAAGGGGTGAGAGGAGGGACACAAGACCCAAGGAGTGTTGCAATGAAGGAGAAATAGTTTAGTGTGTAGAAGAGGCTAAGGAGTCCTCACTTCCTGTGTCTTTGCCTGGTTTACTTCTATTCAAAGTTAAAATTTAGTCCTCCTTGCTTTCCTGCAGATAGCTTTTCCAAATTTTCTTGTTTTTATTTTCAAAATTAAATTTACTTCTAATACACAAAAAAACATAAATATTGAACTATGTGATGTTTTGATAAATGTATGAATTGCATAATGTTTAAATCAGGTTAAACATACCCATCTCCTCAAATATTTACCATTTCCTAATGGTGAAAACATTCAAAATCCTTTCTTCTAGGTTTTTGGGGTATCTATCATTACCCTACTGTGCAATAACACACCTGAACTTATTTCTCAAATCTATTATTTCGTACCCATTAACTCACCTTTTCCCAACCCTCCCCTCCTACTCTCCTCATCCCCGGGTAAATACCAGTTCTCTGTCTTCTATGAGGTCAACGCTTTTAGGTTCCACATAGAAGTGAGAGCATGTTGTACTTGTCTTTTGTGTCCAGCTAACCTCATTTACCATAATCTCCAATTCCGTCCTTACTGTTACAAAGGACAAGATTTCATTTTTTGGTGGCGGAATACTATTCTGTTGTACCTCATGTCTTTAATTATCAGTTGACGTAGACTACTTCCACTGCTTGAGTATTGTGAGCAGTGCTGCATGAATATGGGCATGTGTCTCTTTAACACACTGACATTCTATTTCACGTAAACAGTATATGTAGAGATCCTGACAGCCAAACTGTAAATGGTGGTGCATTGTATATAAAGACTGACATTGAATAAAGTATTCACTATATGCCAGTTATCATGATAACAGCTTAACATGTTATTTTAACCTAATAACTACCCTACAGGATATGTGCAGTGTACAACTAAATCTGGAGAGACTCATGACTTGTCTTGGGTCACACAGAAGATAGAGGAGCCAGACGTAGAAGACAGAGGAGCCAGGAGTTGAAGAGAACTTAAATTCTATGTAGGCAGAGCTCCCATCAGTCTTTCACCACTGCACTCTTGGAGGGATATATGTATATTCTTAACATTGATATATTAATATCTATCCACCAGCCATTCCTTAACACTGTCCACAGCTTAAGGCAAAAAAGCAACTCCTCAGTGCCCAAATGTTGCTCTCTGATCCATCTACCCATGCTGTCATCTTTATTTAGCATTTTAGTTTCAGTAGAGCAAGCTGTGGGCAGACAAATGAAATGAAACCCAGCATGTAGAAGAGGGAATGACTAAGATAAATACAGGAAGGCCATTTTGAGATTGAACTATAAACAGGTCGCTTTCTGTAGTGGGATCACGACAGCTAACATTTCCCAGGGAGCTTTTTGCACATCATTCACTCGCTCTAGAGACTTGTGCTTTTTAATCCTCATAACAATCCCCATCTTCAGCACATACGTCACCTCCCCCTCTGTTCCAAACTAATGACGACGGCTTATTTTCTGAGTGCTGAAACTTTGGGCCACCCACCCATCAAAATTTTACCAGTTTTCAAGAGCCAACTCAAATACTGCTCTGTGAAGACTTCACATTCAATTCTCAGAACTCTTCTTTACGATTTTGCACTGCTACAGCAGGCTATCATTTGTATGGCACTGAAGGTATTCCAGGTCACTGAGTACTTGTTATTTCTCCTGCTGAGCTCCTTGGGGACAGGAACCTTATGTAATGGATCCTTGTATTTCCTATGGCTGTTATATATAGAGGGCATTTAATATTTGCTGCCTAACATGAATAGCACCAACCCTGTCCTTATTGCTACTGTTGCAAGAGCAACACTACTAGCAGCCATACACAACTCCTGCCAGCCAAATGTCAGATACAATTAGAACCTTTTCTACATTTCCTTCAACAAGAAAATAAGCCCAGATGGCTTCAAGATGAACCAAAACAAAGCTTAAGTGTTTCTCAACTAGTAGTCATCCTAATGGCAAACTCTAGTGAATAGCAGACTGCCATAAAATAAGGTGAGGCTTGAAAACTCTCCAAAATAGCTCATAACTTCCCATAGTTTCTTTTTGGAGGGGGCTGAGAGTGCTGGGCATTGAGCCTAGGCAAGCACTCTACCATTGAGCTGTACCACAAGCTCTACTATAGCTTACGTTGTCCCTGACATTGTTGTCCAGGCAAGGAAGATGAAGTTTGAGGCTTATAAAATTCTAAGAGTTTAACCAGAACTTTCAAAACAGTAATTGACAGCTGTCACGCGAACGTAAGGATAGGAATTTAAATTCCCCATGATTCAGAGCAGTGAATTTTAACCCTTCTACCATGATAAACCTAATATATAAGGCACCTCCCCCAAACGTTTAGGAATGCTAGAGGAATAGAGTTAATTATACTACTTGATCACGCCCCTCCATAATTTAGTCAGTCATAATAACGCAGCATCATGTTAATGTTCAATTTGGATTCCAATGCTTGGTCCAACTGATTTTATTCTCCCAACTCCACCAACCTCCCTCTGCCATCACCCTAGTCCAAACAACCATCATTTCATGTTTGAACATCGCAGAAGCTTCTCACTGATCTCCCTGTTCTTGCTCATATCAATTTCCAAATTACAGCTGGACTGAAATGGGGAACAAAACTATCTTTCTAAAATAACCAATGCCTGTGTACACTTTTACTAGGTAACAGCTGTGTGAGATGCTTAAAGTAAAACCCTACTTTGGAAACAAAGACGTCGAAGACCAAATGAATATTGAAACCATGTACCCAAAGTCAAAACTGAGGTCAAAATTCAGAATTCATTGCAACTAATACACACTAATAAAAAAGAAAATTCAGAATTCATGATTGCGCAGATGAGCCTCAGTTTAATAAGCCATGCTCTTTCCCCTAGAAAGGCAACACTTTCTCAGGAGAATCAATGGAAGACAAATGAAATTATATTTGTATTGGTCTAAAGCCTGCTTTCAGACCACAAAATATCAAAAACTTATCATCAGGAGACAAAAAGGGTTAAGAACCCATCCTGAGCTGAAGCATTAAGGGCCACTCACATGGATCCCTTGTGTCACTGGATCCACCTCCTCTAGCCAACTAGAGGACAAGGACGGCATTCCAGATCCAGGACTATGTGATCCACATGGGGAGCATAAGATTTCACCGGTTGGATGTGCAGGATTTGTGTCTTCCAGAGTTTCCCATGCATCTGCTGAAGAAGATCAGTAATTCGAGTTTCTGCAGATTCAGCCCACCTTTGCCACTCTAGCTTGGTGGATGGTGACAGCATTTTTCTCTTAGAGTCCCTGGTCGTTCCATTTTCCAATTTGTTGGTGATAACTTGCTGAGGATGTGGACAATGTTCTTCCTCCGTTTTGGTGCTTCCAGAAGGCCAAAGGCTCTTCCCAGGGAAAGATTCCACATTTTGGTGGATATGCAAAATGCCCCCAGTATCTTGTCGAAGCACTTGGCAGGCAATGGGCCAGCCTTCTTCAGAGCTGGGAATCAGTCCCAGGTTCACCCTATCTGCAATGTTTGAGAGCTTCAGTTTCCTGGTATCCCCGAAGTGTATTTGGCACCGATCTGCTACTCCATTGATCTCCAGGTTATTTCTCAGAGCAACTGCAGCATGCGGGTTCCACTCACAGGCATGGACAAAGGCGGCACCAGCATGAACTAGGAAGGGCAATGTAAAATAACCAATCCCTGCATAGAGATCCACCAGCACTTCTCCAGCACAGGACAGCGATGCCACTCGCAGCTTCTCTGTGATGTTTCCAAAGGAGAACATGCACTGGGTCACATCAAACTTATATCGGATGCCATTATCCACATGCTCTACCCAGCCATGGTCGCCCAGCAGCACAGTCACTGCTGGAGTTCGAATGCCATCAGGTAACACCCGTCCTCGTTTTGCCAAACGCTGGACGCCAAGGACCGATGCAACGGTCTCCCACAGTTCTGGTTCCAGACTTTTCCATTGCTTGGCTTGGAAACAGTCTTCACTGAGCAGCAGGAGGTCTCCATGCCGTTGCCAAGATCGGGGCAAATCGGCCTCCAATTCAGCCGACCACGTCACTCCCCGACCCTCTATCCAGCTCCTCACCTCAAAGCAGAGTCTTTGAGCAGGTGAACAAACCAGGGCCTTCTTTGAAGAAACGGGATGCAGGAGCCGCGTCAGCACGCAGGTACTGCCCGGGGCCACGTGGTTCCTCAGCTCCTGTAGGTGCAGCTCCGGGAGCGTCTGTCCCAGCACCGGCAGCGCCACGGTGCCATCCGGCATCTTTCCCACGCGGTGCCGGCTATCCAAGAGTTTCTGCTTCTCGAGATATTCCCTGTATCGCTGGGTAAACCGAGGGTCAGTCACCACGGCGTAAACAGCCACAGACTCCCCACCTTCTCTCTCCATGATGCTAGCACCCCCATTCTTTCAGATTCCGCCGGGGAGGCTCTCTTCCGGCTGGGTTTCCCTCACTCTGTAAGCCCACCGCCACACTTGGAAGAAAGAAGCGCAGGGCGCCATGCCGAGAACGGAAGTGACGTTAAATGAGCAGGCCGGAACTAGATATGTTGATGCGAGTGACGCCGAATGGACTCTTCCAGTGCGGTGTGAAACCGCTGCCGCCATCTTTGTTATGGTCCATCATTCATTTGCGTCAGCCTAGAATGAAGTTAATAAAATCAAGGAATTATATGGGCCAAAAGAGATCAAATTAGTCGATTTCCTCCAGAACGCTCATGCACTATCTTTAGTGCTGCTCACGAATCCAAACAAACAAGTGAACTTGAAATGTTGCTCTCGGGTCAGCACCAATATCCACTTTATTTCCTGAAAGTGAAGTCAGGTACAGCTTCCTCATTCCTTTCTTGAAAAGATTGTCATCACCTCGTTGCCCTGCAGTCCATGAAACCAATGTTTGGAAGTCAGAAGGATCTGAGTTTGGGTAAATCATTATCACCTCTCAAAAGCAGAATTTCCACTTATAATGGGAATTATCTTACCCAGCTTCAGAGGATTGCTATTGTGATTAGAGATGTTATAAATAAAATATTTAAAACAATGATTAGTAAAAGGTAGATAACTAAAAAATATGTTATAAAGTAGCAAGTTGAATTGGCTAGATGGAAACTTCTAACCACCTGTTGAAAAACTTTGATATTCCTTAAGAAGACAAAGAGGAAGTTCCGTACAATAAATTCAAATAATTAAAAATGAGAACTTTAAAGACTTATCCTTTCTACTTACTTCCCACCATTCTGCATATTAAGATTTTGAGATCACAAAAGACTAATATTAATTGAATTCCCAACTGTTTTCTTTAGGTCCCTCTGTATGAACATGTTCATACCCATTCATGCAATAATACATTTCCATGAGTAGAAACATATTCAGAAATTTAGACAAAGGTTGGTAAACACATATAATCCTTGTTGTTTTACTTAAGCCTATACATGGAAGGTTAAATGAGTTATGGCACATCCATTAGGTGGGTATATTATATAAGCATCAATATGATAATTATAGATGTTCTAATGACATGACAGTTGTTCCTTAGGCAATTACATAAAATTAAAATTTTAATTTTTAATTTAAATTACATAAAATTAAATTACAATAATGTTAAGTGGTGGTATATTATTTTTCTGTGTATTAATACAAGTTTAATAGGGCATACTCTAAAATGTGTACAGTGATTCAAATGATCTGTATATGATGCAGTTATAGGTGATGAAAGTTTTTTGCATATTTTTTTGTAGTTACAAGTTGAATATAATGGCTGAATGTTATCTTTTTATGGGACTAAGGTTTGAACTCATGGCTTCACATTTGCAACTGAATATTACTTTTGTACCTCAGAAAATCTATGATGAAGTTGGAAAATTGCTTTCTGGATCCCATACAAACAGAAATTCCCTTTAGTTTGTTATTTGTAGCTGAAATGAGAGAAATTATATCTCTAGATTTTCTTTTATTCCAAAGTCAGTCTGACACCTTGCACAATTATTAGTGTACCATACACTTTGACCCAGATTACACCTTGCTTTTAATCTGAGATAAAATTTGGGCATATATAATCTGAAAGCTGCCTTAATATTGAAGAGTTGGAAACAGTCCTTTCAAAAACTACATATTTACAGGGCTGAAGATGTAGCTTCATGGTACAGTGCTTGCCTGGCCTCCACCACTCAAACACATGATCTCATTTTCCCTATTGGTTCACTTGAACTCATTAAAATCAGAACAAAGGAAAAGCAACCAGCAAAAATAATAATAAACAAGCTTGTATATAACCCATTGGTTCAAATGTAGAGGGAAGACTGGCTTTGTAAGGGAGAAGTGGAGGGTGGGCAAACTTTGTCACAGATTACCTCTTCCAAAGAGGACAGAATGATTTCATTCCACATTAATTTCAGTCAGAGAGGCTCCAGCTAGAGATATGTTTATATTGCCAATATCCTTTTGATGAGATGCCAATGTGCCGAAGACCCCAGGTCCCTTCACCATCCCTCTTACACAAGAGGTTGCATTCCTTCCTTAAGGGCTTTTCTTCCCTATAAGCTGTCTGCTTTCACATGGGAAGGAGGGTCTGAATATCATTGAGCTGAATATGCACCAAGAACTTCCTTCCCACCCCTGTTCCCCCCTCCTCCCACCCCTGATTTGAGAGATCCTAGAACCTGAAAACAGAGAAGAATAATTGTTTTCCCTTTTTTCTTTCTTCAAGTTGTTCACTGCACCTGAATATCTTTCCCTTCCATTAGGTGCTTCTTCACTTATTCATTAATTTTACAATTCCTTCTGCCTTTTTGAACACCATTTGCCAACCTGTTCCATCCTGCCAAGTGCTAAGCTCATTATAGCTGAGAAGATTAAAGAAAGTGCAACTCTTGCCTTCACAGATTTCAATTTTGATTGTAGATACACTCACAAGTCACTTAAATGCTTAAGAGCTTATGGTGGTTGCAATTCCAGGTGTTTTTGTGAGGGTGGAAAAGAGATCAAGTCATCCCTCTCTTGTATTTCAAAAGCTCTATTATTTTTCCTCCTCTCACTGAAGGTTTCTTCCTGCAGGTACACCATTCATCTTATCTGAACTATTTTCCACCTTATTTGATGTTTCCCAGACTCAACACTTCCAAAAAATTGAACTCAGCTGGTGTTTTTCTCACTCCACTTTAGCTCATGAAAGAAACCTAGTCTCTTATGTCAGAAACCCAGGGATTTTCTTATACTTACACCTCTCCCTTGTTCTTAGCACTCATATTCAGTCATCTCCAGCTTTAATGGACTTTACTTTTACCTAATTCTTTAGGGAACCCACTTCTGTTCCTAGTGATACTGCCATAGACCCAGTCTCCAGATTTTCTCACAGCTTCCTGAGTGGACTTCCTGCTTTTGTTTATTTCACTGGTAATGAACCATTATTTAAACATCTTTATATCATCGTGCCTGAAGTAAAAACCAAGATAGGAAGAATTTTCCATAAGCTTTGTCTTATTATATAAAGCATTTCACTGTCACATTGTGAATCATATTATATTATACAAAGATGCAATATTCATAATTGTATATTGGTTTTGAATAATTCATAATACCTGTAGCTTGTTGCTTAAATTTATTTTAAAAAACTGGTATACATGAAAAGTTGTCACCTAACTCATTGCTAGATCATATTACCGAATTCTTTTATTTTTATATGGGTGTGAGGGTTTTTTCTTACACCTTGGTTTATAGTATTTGCAGTTTAAAAAGTGAAATGAATATTCAATAAGACTCCTGGTTTGTAACTATAGCATTTGTATTTTGCCCTTTGCTCACTGGGAGCAGTCTCTCCCCATTCATGAATGAACACTCAAGCTGTCTGTATCTTTTCTTCCTTGACTCATTGGTTATTTAGGAATGCATTGCTTAATTTCCATATGCTTGTAATTTCCCAAATTCCCTTATATTATTGATTTCTTTCATTTTTCTTAGCATACCTTCATTGTGACATTACTGAAGAGCCTCACGTTGAACATTGATTAAGTTTGCCCCACCATCTCTCTTCCCCTCATCTCCCTCTGTAACCCACCTAGAACAATTGCTAAAGGTTCTGTTGTCCCACCTAGAACAACTGCTAAAGGTTCTGTTGCTCTATTTTATATATGTATACATAGCACACCAGCCATATTCATTTCTCCTTCATCTTCTCCACTTACCCTCCCTGCTCCCACAAGTACCCCCAACAAGACCTGTTTCACAGTCCTGTCCTTTATTTTAATTCCAAATTTAGTGTTCAAAGTGGTTTCTTAGCATATCTCAGCTATGAATATACTGTACTTTTGTCAGTTCAACCCCTCTATTACTCTCCCTCACCCTTTCCTTCCTACCCCCTGTTATTCAACAGCTTCCAATATGTATCTTTATGTCATCTACCTGCACAGATGCAATATATTTAGCTACTGTTGACTATCATTCTCTTTTCCTATCCCTCCTTCCCCAAGTTCCATAGAGTAGTTCCACCATTACAAACATGTTCTATATATAAATGTGTCTATGATCATGTTTGTTTTGTATACATGTTTATCTTTTGTTTCTATATTCCACATATGAGAGAAAATATGTGACCTTTTCCTTTCTGAGCCTGGCTTACATCACTTAACATAATGTCCTCCAATTCCATTCATTTACCTGCAAGCAACATAATTTCATTCCTCTTTATGGTTCAGAAGCACTCCATCATATATATATATATATATATATATATATATATATATATATATATACACACATATATATGTACATATATATATACACATACATATATGTATACATACATATTTATGTATATACATATATGTATATATATATATGTATATCACATTTTCCTAATTGCATTAATCAGTTGTAGGGCATCTGGTTTGTTTCCATAGCTTGGCTATTGTGAACAGTAGTACAATAAACATCAGTATTCAAGTGTCCCTATTGTATCCTGATTTACATTGCTTTGGGCATATGCACAGGAGTGGTATCAGTGGATTGTACAGCAGTTCTTTTTAGTTTTTTAAGGAATCTCCATACTACTTTCCATAATGGTTATACTAATTTACATTCCCACCAACAGTACATAAGTTTTCCTGTTTTACTGCATCCTCACAAACATTTGTTGTTGTTTGTGTTCTTGAAGGTAGCCATTCTAATCGGGGTGAGATGAAATCTTAGTGTAATTTTTATTTGCATTTTTTATGGCCAGGAAGTCACTTCTTCATGAATTTATTAGCTATTTGTATCTCATCCTTTGAAAATTCCCTATTCATGTGCCCAATTTCTTCATTGGTGTTGGTTCTTTGGGAGAGTTTAGTTTTTTGAGCTTGATGCAGATTCTGGCTATTAGTATTTAAAATAATGTAGACTTTTTGTGAGGGGTATTTTTGTTTTTGTTTTATAAACTGTCCTAAAAAGCAACCCAGATGAGAGAGAAAGGAAGCCAGAAGCCTGGAAGGCCTCCTAAACAAGGCAAATTTTCAAAAAATGAAGATGAGGCAGTAAGAGTCAGCTCAGCCTCTTTCTAGTTCTGTGGACAGTCTCTTAAGTCTAGTGACTTTCTTTTGCTGTGCAGAAGCTTTTTAAGTTTGATGTAGTACCATTTGTTCTTTCTTTCTCAGTTCTATTTAAGAAGTTATTGCCTGTATGTATACGTTTCAGTGTATTCCCTACTCTTTTCTGCAGTAGTTACAAAGTTTTAGGCCTTATATTAAAGTCTTTAATCCACTTTGAATGTCTTTTGGTATAGGGTGAAAGACAGGGATCTAGTTTCAGTAATCTACATGTGGATATCCAATTTT